AAAAAAAAAAAAAAAAAAAAAAAAAAAAAAAAAAAAAAAAAAAAAAAGCTATGGCTTTTAAAAATGGTAAAAACGGAAGGTATATGTACGGAGGAACTAGAGAGAGAGAAACGTAAACCATCAAACAAATTGAAATAAGTTGTGTTCCATCGTAATAGTTTCCATGGGGAATAGTTATATAACCTCTGGTTGATTGTTTAAGCATATACGAGTTTAATGAAACAAGTGTCAGCAGCTAAGTATGCATACAAAGTGGCCCTTTTTCTCCATATCAAAAGCTCTCGCGGAATGCAATTAAGCGAAACGCGAGAGGCTCTCTTGCTCTCATTTTCGGTGTGCATGTGATGTACATAGGGTGTGGAAAATGCAAAGCCAGTCCCTTCTTTCGTATAAAACGAAGATAGTGCAGGTGAGAAAGGGAGACGGGTATAACAAACAGACAGAGACAATCGCTTTTGTCAAGCCGGTATGTGTGTGTGTGTGGAGGTACGCAGGGGAAGAGAGGGAGTAAAGAGGGAAAATGGCGTCGGCCCGGGGTGAGAGTGGGCTGTGTGGAGGTGCGCTGCCGCCTCTGCCAAGGTAACGGGACACCAAATCGAACAAGACGCCATCGCGAGCTACGCTCGGCACTGCTCTCATATATTGTATACTCGTGCACGAGCAGTTCTATTGAAAGTCTTTTTGACTTTATTTTTTCAAACCAACGCTTTTTCTTTTTTTAAATTTTATTTAGGTGTATATTTCGTTCATAATTTTCAAAATTAGGTGGACGTTGGGGAAAAAAATCAACGTATAGCTCCCTTGAACAATGATTTATTGCCTTTTTGTTTTTGTTTTTTCCAACATACCGTACAAAACTTTGTTAAATTATGCATTTTTCAAATGATAATTGACAGTTGTATCGATACGGATCTCTTATGCAAATATTTTTTACCAAATTAAAATCTTCGCTCAATATACCAATATCTTTTTTATCAAAGCGTCGACCCGCTGAGAAATAACTTTCAATATTACATCAAGCACGTAATCCTCGTTCTTCCCGAATCCAAATCGGCTGTAAACCCTTTGATGTCCGTTCGCGGGAGATATGCAGATCCGACGGAGCGTTCGCCTCTTAATTATTCACGTTTTCGGTCAACGGAAGCCGCTACACGAAAGCATACAAAAATCGAGTCCTGATCCGTCTTTTTTTTTAATTCTTTTTTATATACACTTTCATTATACCTTCCAATACACACCAACTTTGGCCGAATAAAAAAAATGTAAGACGGATACACCACTCCCTCGCTAATGTACACGGTCAAACGACCAGCTTCTATACGTATCTCCCGGAAAAATCATTCGGAAACGCTGCCACCTACATCCCCGACCCCAGGATTACCAAAAAGTAAAAAGGAAAAAACTACTCTTCGGAGAGGAAAAAAAAGGTAGGTACGTATCTGACATCCTCATCGATTCCATGTCCCTGAGCACTATACACACTCCGGGAAAATCGCTGCTCGTTCTCTCTCAAAAAAAAAAAAAAAAAAAAAAGAGATAAGCAGCACCTCTGTCTGTATACACCCCAGACGTAACGGCACAGCGGGGATTATAAAATAGTTCCAAACGCGACGAGCTTGCGGACGCGTCGTCAAGATACAGCCGAGTAAATAACAAGGTGGAAGCCATCGACTCCTCTCGTTCCCCCGGGGCACTTATCACCGTAGCCGATCTCCCTGCCGATCCGTACCTACATACAAACCACTGGGCAAAAATTCTTTTTTTTTTTTTTTTCTTTTCATGCAGGGGTGCGAAGAGTACATATTATATAGGTAGACGCGTCCGCGCTTCGAAATAATTAGCGCGCCAACCGCCGGAGTCATAAATCCCCCTGGGCTCGGGACGCGCGGAACTTAACGAGCATCAGCCCCGTGAAAAAAAAGATATACTTACCTCCTTGCAAGTATACGTCACTTGGGTGGGGTGTGCGCGTATGTATGTATCGATGTAACACCGAACGTAGGGGTTGTTGTTTGGTTGTATCCCCCTCGAGGTTGTCACCATGCGTGTATAGACACAAGAGCGGGATAGGGGTATGTATATATGTCACCCCGGATGGACGCGCGACAACAGCCACCCCGACGCCTCGTCCTACGCCTTCAAATCAGCGGGCGCATCTAACTAACCGTGTAATCGTCAATTTGGGCTTATTACAGGGAGCCGCGTGATTGCAGCTGCTGCCGAATGTCTACGTGCATCATCTATACACAGGAGGGGGGGAGGGGGCTCTCTACTCCTGCTGGTAAACGAAGAGTACCTATAGATAAAAATATACTCGCGTGTATGGTTTGTTGTTTTCCATCGGGCCTTTTTGTTGGGTGCCCTCGAGAAGAGAGCGAGGGGATAATCTCGGTGTCGTATAAGCTTATTCACGGGCTCTTGAGCACAAGTATATAAATGCACAGGGAAAAGAGAGAGTGAGTTGGCTCGACGAGCTGCAGACGGACAGGTAGGTATATGGGTACCTAATAAAGTGGCCAGTGACACATAAAGAGCATATTTTCGGGCATTAGCGCGGGAGCTACCTGTTTTTCTTTTCTTTTTTTTTTTTTTTTTTTTTTTTTTTCAATGCAGGCAAACTCTTCAATGACGTTGTAAATTTGATTTGCCGATGTGCGTTTCAAACAGAGTTACAGTTTCATTAAAAGACAATTTTGTTGCTTTTTATTATTAGCTTTTAGTCCTGACTTTTCTGGTTTGCTTAACAAGGTTCGCACGGAAATTTTCATTTTCACTTACAAGAAAAACTACATATTGTACTTACTTTTGAAACATATATTCGTAGCATATCTCGGATGATATTTGCAGTACAGTGTAATAAGTACTGAAAAGTAACAAATCATATTCAAATTCAATAAAATGTATATGTACTCCAAGGTCCACCCCATCGTTCGTATACTTATTTTATTACTAATCATACCATACAAAATTCGTTTTATTATATTTTTACAAAGTTATATATAGTAAAAAAAAAAAGTACTTACGATGGCTCATTATGGTTCCCCATCGTTCGTATACTATTTTATTATTAATCATACAAAATTCGTTTTATTATATTTTTACAAACTTATGTATAGTAAAAAAAAAGTACTCACGATGGCTCATTACGGTTCTTGTGACAATTACACTCTTTTGTCAACCCACCCAGAGTTATTTTATCACGCTAGTAGGTACAAGTCGTAAATCTCGAGAAAAACTGAACCTTCGAAAGTTATGTTCTCCATATTCTTTTGATTTTTCATCTCTTCTTTACTCTTCAGAAAAAAACTTTTGAAATAGCATAGCTTCAAAAAAATCCTGAACGCTCCATCAATTTTTGAAATTGATTTATTTATTTATTTTTTTTTTTCTCCTTATTCCCTTGCATTTGAAACATTATAATATTTCCATCGGTGCCATTTTTGTCTCTAGCTAGACACAAAAATCATGAAAATAAGGAAACACAATGGGGCACATAAATTATTATCCCACTCTAGCTGCGACAGTCGTATAATTATCAGTCCCGTTATTTCAATGAGTATAGCAAAGTGACTAAGTATATCTGAAGCAAAATTGAAATTTAATTCACTTTCCGCGTAAATCTGCGCAAAACAGGCGGTCGCCAACGCCGAATTGAAAACGGTGCCAGCGACGACGGCGACGATAAGGTCAACGGCGCAGGTGAGGACCACAACGGCCGGACCGACGCAACCTCCCCGCCGCGGGCCCGCCGAATTGCCGATCTATCGCTTGAACGGCAGCAACGGCCAGGCCTGTATTCTCCTGCAAGTCGACGCGCTCATCACCGTCAAGTACAAGACGAAACTCGGCGAGGAGCAGGTGCTTTTTTTTCCTTCTGAAACATTATCATGCCATTGATTTGCCGTTTTGTTCATTTGGCTGTGCTAATCCTTAGGAGGCGGATATTTACGTGCCCAACGACGCGACCATCACCGGTAACTGCGAGGGCGAAAATTACGTCTCGATGTCCTTGAAGTGGGACGCGTTTATTCTGAAGTGGAACTTTGCCAAGGTCAGTAACAATCGAACCGTCGAACGCAGTAACAATGTCAGTTGGAAGTAAAAGTGCGATTTCACTCGATTGTAGACCCCAGGGGGCGAGAGATGGTACGTGGAAAAAATCGAGCTGACCTTCAATACGAGTGACCGACACTTTGAGCACATCGACAAGCCCAGTGAGTAAAGCGCCCGCGAACGCATGGACGTGCCATTTATAACATGGCCATTAAAAGAAATATACTTTTCCAATTTCAGATAAAACGAAAAAGTTAAGCACCGCCAAGCTCAACTCGCTGCTCTTCCCGACTCCGGTCGGCAAGTCTTTCTCATGCGAGGAGGAACAAGAGATCGCCCTGACCGACGGCAAAACTCGAGCTAGCGTACTTTTGAGGTGAGCCTCGTTACTTTCTTACATACAATGTGCGCAGTCATCTCTGATGGCTGCTGTATTGATAATTTACCCGATGGCCTTAGGAACATGAAGCTCCAGCCGTTCAAGTTTAAAAACAACGACTTCGCAGTGGAGTTTTCGTGCACGGCCCTGAGCGCGCGGATCAATCGGGACGAAACCGCGCCACTGGCCGTCGGGACTACCCTCGCTGCCACTGTCCTGCTGACGATAGCCGGCTACGCGGGCTGGCGGCACTTCAAAATCAAGAAGGTCCAATACGACACTATGGAGTAAAAAAGTGAAATAGTTTACGTAACAACGCGTTGCACTTTCTTTTTTTCTTTTTTTTTTTTTTTTTTTTTTTTTTTTTTTTTTTTTTTTTTTTTTTTTTTTTTTTTTNATTATTATTGTGATTTTATCACGACTGTATCCAAGACACGGAAGCATCCACACACATACACACACACGTGTACATGTATACGTGTAAAAGTGACATTGCAATTATAATTCTATTATATGATCAATAACGAGCGAGCAAGCTAAAAGTGACGCTCGTGTATTTTTGTATAATATAATATATGTGTTATTAATATCGCACCACCTACTGTCGTTATTTCCTCGGCTATTCACGTGCTTCATTCATTCATCGGTATCCCATTAATTGCCGTTGACGATACTTGCACAAAATACAAATCGATGAAGAAATTTCGATTGACGCCGATTTGATTGATCTACGTAAGATAATGCAACGAATAGAAGTAAAAACCGGCAAATCAGTATATTATAGGAAAACGAGGCTTCGTCGGGTAACCCTTAAAATTTCTAAAAAAAAAAAAAAAAAAAAGGTAAAACAGTAAAAACGAGGATGGTATAAGCTTGCTTTGAAGAGTCACGTGTATACACATAATATATACCCCCTGCCCGTTTGGTTTCGCGCATTATAGCGATGGACAAGTACATCTCGCACTTTCGCGAGCAATCAAGGGAGGTAGGTCGCGAGGTATACATATATACACGGGGTTCAAAGGTTTTTTTCGTGCATCCGCGCGCTCGAGAGAGATACGAGACAGATAGTATAGAAAGAGAGAAAGAGAGAGGAAGCGAGGCGTGGCCGGAGCGACGGATTGGCCCGTTTCTCGCGGGAGCCCCCATCAGCCGAGGAGAGACGTCTTCACTCGGCGCCCTTTTGCTCCGTCCTTCTTCGCTCTCCCCACTCCCGATGTCTGCTTCACATATACGTGCATTATATTATTATTAGGTAGGTAAGTATATTGCGAGTGGGGCCCTCCTCGCGTATGTTCCACGTATATAATAATTGTATGAATGCAGCATACGTATTTATATGTTACACATTGGTTATGCTTGTACCTATGTATACTTACATGTACACATCACTGGGGAATGTGCGGAGGGAGCTCGTTTCTCCCTTGATCTGACAGCTGTCGCGCGGATCCGTCGGCGAATCGTCTCTCCGCGAGTGTTATTCGCGGATCGACTGATTTGGGTGGATGCGCAAATCAAAAGCAGCTCGTTGTTTTGGTCGAGCAGATAATTTTATTTTTTCATTACTTAAGAATCATCGTCTTCGATTTTACTATACATTTTTTTTTTTTTTTTATTAGTTTCTGTTGTGTATACCTACTCGAGTAGTATGCAGTTGAGAACAATCATAACTTTTTAGGTGGTTGATTTTACAACCCTTTTACTCTGTCTCCGACTGAGACGGTTCTTTGGCAACCCTTCTCCCTATTTCTAGCCAAAAATGCAAAAAAAAAAATCTCCAAATTTTAATATTTCAAGGGCCGAGGTAACGTTGTACGGCTGCGTTGTGTGGCATCACAGGTATTGTTATTTTACAACACAATTGAGCTTCCAATACAGTGCAGAAAAAAAAAATTTTTTTTAACAACTTTAGGCTTAAGAAACTTTAAATTTGTCTTTCAAATTCTTTCATCACTTTGACACTATATATATTATGACTTTACCTCTGTAACAGAACAATCGAATAAAGTAATTTTTTTACAACAAAAACAGCTCATTGCACAAAAAACTATTCGATTTTTTATGCCCCTATCATTTGCACTATACCTATACTTTGGCACCTATATTATAAAATCCTAATGATTTCGAACGTACATAATATGTTCAAAGAGATGCAAATTTTTTCGTGAAGCAATAAGGAAAAAAACTTGTGACAACAAAGTTTTGTATATGCTGGAGAACCCATGAAAACTTTCTGGAAAAGTTGTATAAAATAAGGTATTAGGTAGACTTAATTCTGCTCGCATAAAATTCCCTTGTTTCACGTTGCGTGCGAAGAAGAGCGACGAGCCACGATTATTTCAAATTTTGAAAGAATGATCGGTAAAATTGTATTTTTACCCCTTGAGACAAAAACTTTTTTAAGACATTATCAAAATATTTTGAAATTCATCAATCGATTAGCTAGATTGGCGCACCCCAATTTGTACACGTTAGGGATTTGTACAAACTGATTCTTATGAATTTAATGATCCATGATAAAACGAAGCTCTCGTCACACATTACAATACTGATATGATTTTAGCTATATTTAGGTGTATGACTAATAATGCAAAAAAGTTATAAACCATAAGATGTAAATTAATAAAAAAAAAAGAAATGGATCCGAGACGGTGAAAAAATCTCAATGGCCAAAATGATGTCAAAGTAAATGTAATCATACCGATTCTTTGATAAACCCGATTTCCAAAACAATGTACATCAACCCCATGGTTACGCAGACATCACGTAATTTTTGAGAATTTCCATTCATCGATCGGATGAATCGATCAATGGAGCGTGAAATAAAAAAAAAAAGGCACTACACACCCGATCCGACGATTCGCACTCGCGCATCGTGTGCGATCCTCGCGACCGAGCCACCATACACGTGTACATCCTTCGCGGTCGCAACAAACAACACCGGAAACAGAACGAGTCAACGTCGACACCAAACACCGGCTCATCGTCGCATAATCACCTACTTATGCTTATAAATATATATCGGGAGGGACACGCCGAGCGCGCTCTCGTGCGTTTTAGCGATTTCCGCAACCGGTCGTCGACTTACCCCCACTCTTCCACGCGTACACGCACAACTCTTTCCCATTCAAACTGTGATATATATTTTCTCTTTTTTCTTCTTCTTCTTCTTCTTTTTTTTTTTTTTTTTTCACACTTTTGAAAACGAAACTTGCTTTTAAACGTAACACAGAGAAAATCGCAGCATCCCATCCTACATCACCCGCGCTATATATGTATATATACATGTATACCCGAATGTCCTACAATATAATACCCGCCCCCGGTCCTCCAGAATGCCCGCCTCGCCAGCAGCGCCGAGCCAATGGGGGGTTGTACACAGCTTTACCTACCCATATATACATACGCGATACGGTATAGGGAGAGCGCGTATCCTCCCCCCTCCAGCGCCGTACTAGCCGCGTTGTTGTGTGCTAGAGAGAGAGAGAGAGAGAGTTGTGGTGTATGTAGCCCCCCATCCGGGGAGCCCAGCGTGTATAACATGTCTCTTTGGGTCTTCGGCCGTATACGGGCAGTGTCGATCGCCAGCCGAGCGCAGTGTGCGACCGGTATCTCGGCATCTTCCACCCGCGCGCGCCACACAAGTATACTTACTTACTCTCCGATACCCGCGCTCGCGTACCGTTTTTTTCTCGTTTTGTTGTTTTTTTTTTTTTTTGTTTTTATTAATTTTCGTTAATTTTCTTTTATGTTTCTGTTTGTCCATCCGCGCCGTACAATCGCATCATCCGCGGGTGTTGGCAACCTGTGTACCACACGTACGCGATATAGTAACTCGGTGTAGGGGGTGCTGTTGGTGCAAGTGCCTCGCGATGCAGCGAGAGGCCCCGTGAATGGACCTGCACCTACGCCGGCCCAATGAAGATATACCCGCGAGCCAGCACCGGCACCGGCGTCCGGCTGCACCAGCACCAAACGCACCACCACATCCAACAGCATTACCACCACCAGCAACAACAACAACAACAACAGCAACAACAGCACCAGCAGCAGCAGCAGCAGCCGAGCCAAGGCCCGGGCGATTACGATGCGATCAAGGCGTACGCTACCGGTTACCGGGGCAACGGTAGCCCTAGGCTGGCCGAGCCGGGGCAGCTCAGGCCGGACGGGGTGGCCACCTCGTCGTCCGCGGCGGTCGTCGATTACTTCCACCAGCAGCAGCAGCAGCAGCAGACCGATCTCGAGCACCAGAACAAGATGTTGCTGCAGGGCTGCGCCGAGGGGGCGAGCGAGGGCACCGCCGACGCCCTGGGGCTACAGTTGTCGACGAGCGTGGCCAGCGAGCTGCAGAGCTTCGAGCCCGATCAGGTGGCCTGCATCTGCGAGGCGCTTCTCCAGAGCAAGGACATTGCCAAGCTCAGCCGGTGCGCCCTTTTTTTCCACTCATAATATACAACACCTCACGCCCCTACACTTTTTTTTTTTTCTTTTTTTTTTCTTTTTCACTTCTCGGGTGTATGCTCACGCGATTGGGCTGGACCGCGTGAAACGAAAATAATAAAATTGATCTCAATCGGTGCCCTGTTGGTCCCTGCGTGTAAACGTCGAACAATGGGTCCGATTGTGCCCGTTCGTGTAAACAACGGCCGCCTATGTATCGATAAGTCAAAGTACGTATGTGGTTTATATGAAAAATCCCGTCCCTTTAGATTCGTGGGTTCGCTGTCCAAGCGCCAGCAAAAGGGCGAGAGCGTGCTGATGGCCATGGCGGTGGTGGCGTTCAACGGGGCGAACTACGACCAGGTGTACAAGATCCTGACGTCGCACGAGTTCTCGGAGCGCCGTCACCCGGAGCTGCAGAAGATGTGGTACGAGGCGCGCTACCTCGAGAACGAAAAGTCCCGGTCGCGGGAGTTGGGGGCCGTCGACAAGTACCGGCTGCGGAAGAAGTATCCCCTCCCCAAGACCATATGGGACGGCGAGGAGACGATATACTGCTTCAAGCAGCGCGCCAGGGAGACCCTCAAGGCGGCGTACTTGGAGAACAGGTACCCCAACCCGGCCGAGAAGAAACTACTCTCCGAGAGGACGAAGCTCTCGATGGTCCAGGTGTCCAATTGGTTCAAGAACCGCCGGCAACGCGACCGGCCGACCCAAAAGGGCGCGTGAGTGCACACTCAGTTTTTTTTTTTTTTTTTAATTTCAACCACGTACATTGCGCGTGGGAGGGAAAAGAATGAAAAAGAGAGCGACCGCCGCGGCCGGTAAATATTATTGCGCCGCGGGGCAAATGAAAACTTCCTTTGATTCTCCCAAACGGTACACATCCGCCTGCGTACTAATACCGGCTCGTTCGAAAATCCATCAATTTGCCGGTGAATCCATCCACGACAATGCTCGAGCTGATTGTATATAAAAAACACTCCTCCGGCGCGATAAGAAGCCATGCATGCGCGTACGAACGGCTGGCCTTTTCATTTTACGTATACTCTCCCTCTCTCTCTCATGTATACATATATGTAAGAAGAAATTAAGAGAGACGGCTTCGCGCCTTGTTTTAATGGCGCGTGAAGGGGGAAAGGGGGAATGGTTTTGTTATGGCTACGGGCTGGCTTGTTCACGGTCACGAGCTGCAGCTCCGATGTGTACAATATTGGCGGTGGACCCGACCCTATACCCGTCGGAACTCTGGTGGGCTGCAATTATAATTGGTTCACCCGAATAAAAAATTTCGACGATTCTTTGATTATCTCGACGATTGCGCAATTTTGTCGCAATGATTGCTCGGGTGTTTTCATCTACAACATAATATATGTAGGCCTATACCAACCAACACCGCAAGCATGCAGGATAGCGATCGAGAAAAGCGCCTTCTTTGAATCATTATAGGGCGAGACGTGTCGCAATTTCTCCGGCTCCCTTTCTCCAAGGAGCACGGCTTATAAGGCCATCGCATCATGGATGCACAATACGGAGCCTATACAGCACGCGTTCGCGCCCCGATGGAAAAAGAGAGAGAGAGAGAAACAAAAAAAGGAGGAAATGCAACGCCCCATTACCGTTTTATACTGCAGCTTCGGTTACGTCTCCTCTTTCAGACTATCGAGCTGTTCACACTATATGTATGGGCGGCAATAGGTTCGGCACTCTATACCACCGCGCACGTGTACTCTCCCTGTTGGTGGTATACATATACGTATAGGTGATTGGCACGCGTTGTTCACATATTTTTATGATGGACCTTTCCCCCCCCACCCCACGGACGTGCCACTTTTGAGCTTCGTTTTGTTTTACATGTACAGCCGTCGCGAAAGCGTGTCCTCTGTACCCCAAAGGGGAGGGATGGGCGAAAACGAAAAAAAACCACCCCCCCCCCGGAGCTTGCGATAATTGAATCGCGCAAATCTCATCGGTGTACAAAGCGGCCGAGCTTCACGCGTGTATATACATAAGTTAGCGCGTGCGGAAGAGCAGCTTACGAGCTCCGCGGAGATTGAATTCTCGAAACGCTTCAGCTCTCGTTAGAGGAGGAGGAGGAGTAGTAGAAAGAAGAAAGGAAGGAAGGAAGGAAGGAAGGAAGGGAAGTGTTGTTCGCGCGAAGGAGACGAGGGAGAGAAAGGAAAAGAAAAAAAAAAAAAGAAAGAAAGAAAAAAGCAGGAGTAAAGTGATGGCTGTCGGGACAGCTTTTGTCGTGCGAGCCCGCGTATGTATATAAGTATACCCAAAGGGGCGGGCTTCGTCGCGAGCCGCGAACTAACGCCTTTTACATAATGTACCCTCTGTGTGTTGTGTACCTACATAGGTGTATATATATATATATATGTACGCGCTGCCCCTTGCATATACATGCGTGTATAAAGCCGTGTGTTTAATATTGTGCGATGTGGTCGGCTTCAGCTATATAAAAGCGAGGGAAGTCCCAGCGTGTACGCCTCGGCGCTTGGTGACCATTTTTTTATTTTATTTTCTTTTTTTTTTTTTTTTTTTTTTCACGAACGATTGCCGAAACAGTCACCACTACGGTTCTCTCTCGGAATCCGATGTTTTTCATCCCATGATCGTTCGACGAAATTCTGAGTAGAGCTTTATTATTATTTTACCGTGAAATAATACATGGCGATTGTATAATTAGATATAAAATTATTCAAAGTGATCGTTTCGCGCAAAAAGATAAACGGGGTTTGGATGACGATGGAGGAAAATTCTCGTTTGGAGCTTTAATTTCAGAGGAGAGTTTAATCAATTATCTCGTTTGACATAAATTATATACATATTACATTGTTGTTACCATTTTGTTTCGAGTGAAAAATCGGTAGATACACCCTATTGTTTTAAACTTGTACGATTCCGATGACAAAAGCTTGATGGAGAGCTTGAGCACCGGGTCGTTTTGGGTATTTGGCAAAAAAACATTAAATATACGAGCTAATAATCGAGGAGCCGGAAAATAACGGAAAAGCTGTAAAATAATGAAGTATACATTCGCCTTGCCAAGTGGAAATCTGTGCTCGAGTCTCCGCGTCGTTTGCGCATTTTTCTTCTTAAAAAAAAAAGGAAAAAAAAAAAAAAAACGAATAAATCTCCCCTCTGACCCTCTCTAACGACGCGACGCACCCTTGAGTAGCCGTGTACTCCCCCGCATGCACGTATACAGTTGTCCCCTGTCAGCCTGATAAACTTGCTGCGTTAATTTGCCTGCACGCATGCGACGGAAAAATCTCCACGGCCGCCTAGTTCGGTTTTCCCGGAAGCACACGTGCACCTCGTCTTCGCAATGCTGGAGCTTTTCTCATCTGCCCGGCACGGACAAGAGACAATGGGGATAATGGCCAGTCGGTGCACACAGACATCTGCGGACCAGAACCCCACGCTCTGCCCGAGATATGCTGCACTCCACGCGCGTGATGGTGGTTTTTTCTTTTTCCCTTTGCCTTTTCCGGATCTCTCCCCCCCCTGCCCCTCGGCGTTCGAGAGGGAATATTTTTTTTTTTTTTTTTTTTTTTTTTTTTTTTTTTTTTTTTTTTTTTTTTTT